GTACAAATCATAGATCTGACGCTTCTGAGGATCACTAAGCACATCATACGCCTCAGAAATCTGCTTGAATTTCGCTTCTGCTTCCTTATTGTTCTGACTATTCTTATCTGGATGCCATTTCATCGCTAATCGCTTGTACGATCTCTTCAAATCTTCTTCACTCGCATTCCTAGATACTTTCAGTAAGTTATAGTAATCAACTCCCATTGTAGCTAACCGTTGGAATAATCACCACCGGCGATCGTGAAATGCGCAAGGTAGATGAAATGATTGATGTTTAGCTAAGATACGCCTTTAGTGAGATAAAGAGATTTTTTTATATTCGAATTTTCGTTAAAATGACTGCGCTGTTACAGAATGATAATGACTAGCCTTTTTCAAAGGAATAAAAGAACACTGACATAAAAAGAGAGATGGAAGAATCAGCTTTTTCTAAAAAAAAAAATACTTTTATTAAAGTAGTAAGGTCAAATTAATTAAGTATTTTCTTTGTAACTTGAATATATGAGATAACTTTATGATGTTTCAGACATATGAAGACGAGATATATGTCTGGGGTTAGCTTACTGAACTGATCGAGTAAGCTCAAATCGACGTAATATGAAATTACTGCGAGCAATAAAATTTCACAAACCCGCCTTGATACAAACAACAATGCTTGTTGGAGACGTACCAGGAAGAGGTATTTAATTCGATAGGATATGAAACAATTTCATGTTATTAGGAAAATGATCTTAGATAAAAAATTATAAAGGATACGAAATATGATACGGGAGAGTTGTTTTATTTTTTCCTTCATACATTGTATTATATCGAGAATTTTCTTATTACTTCTTTTATCCACATTTAATTATCATAATTTTTTTTTTTAACATCAACTTATAAGAATTTTAATCAATATTTTACTGTATATTCTTTTTATCATGAAAGTTCAAACTTTCATATTTTTCATATTTTTTCTATTTTAAATTATATAAAGTTGTTCGAGTAAATTATAAGTTTTTTTAAAAAAAATTGAATTTTATAATTAGTGTCGACGTGGCGTAACGTGATTGGATTTGAGATAAGTTTGATGACGGAGCTGTTAATTAGTAAAGTAGTAGGCGAAGAGAACGTGCATGCGATTAAAGAGAGTGGGGACCACAGACAGTATCTTCAGTTGGAAACAGAATCTTTTCTGTGTGCCAATTTGGCGACTTGACGGCGGACCCCCTCTACGTCGTCGTTTTTTTAATTAACTCTCGTTTCAAAAATATTTAAAATACGTGTTAGAAAAAATAATGTATGTATTAAAATTAATGAAAATATTGTTAATTACACTACTTCCATATTGTTATCTGTTATATTGTACTGTTAGTCTAGATATAAATTGTTACTTAATTATCATTGTATTTTTAAAATTTATTCTAATGCCTTACGAGAATATCTATAAGTAACGATCGATCTGATGTGATTGTGTTGTTATCTATCTTTACACATTATTTCACAAGTTTATTTTATATTTTACCCACATAGTTTTATCGTGTATCTTACTTTTCTGATAGTTTATTATTACTATAACAAAAAATAGATTTTAGTGGTAATAATTAGATATGCACATCAAGTCCTTAATTAATTTTCATTAGATCCTATGTCATTATAGGGTTTAGAGACATTTACAAAAAGTGTAAATTATCATTATAAAATCACATTTAGCGACAATATTATATTTGGTATAGTGTATCGATATATGATTTGTAATTATAATAATTTATTCAAATAATAAATTTATTAAACTAATATATTATAATATAATACAATACATTATAACGCAATACGCAATACGTTTTGAACCTATCGATTAGCCAGATAGTATGGGCCATATTATTTATAATACAAAACAGTGTTCGATTTTAATTGTAGTGACCCAATTTTGAATTATAAGTTGGGCCACTTACCAAGGGGTCTCTTTACAATTGCTAATGAGATGGTACCACACCTAAGGTAAACGCCAATTCTAAATTATTAGAGCACATGAGAGTAGGAGTGTACAAATCGAAATATTAAGTTAAATTGAATCGATGAATTAAATAAAATCGGAAAAAAAATTGACTTTTGATTTGGTTTGATTGATTTGGCGATTGAAAAAAAAAACTGATCACTCTTTGTTTGGTTTGGTATTAGAAAAAAAATCAAATCGAATTAAAACCAAATCGACAGACATATATATATATATATACATAATTTATTTTATTTGTAGATAAAAAAAATATTATCTACATATAATCTACTTTGGTGATATTTTTTTTGTTAGTTTATGATTTTCAATTTTATATATTTTATTTCAAATTTGGATTTGTAAAATTTTGTATATATACATATATATATTTTTTTTGTTTTATTTATAGCTAAATAATATTATTTATAATGTACTTTGCTAATATATATTTAGTTAGTTTATAGTTTAAACTAACTAAAAATATATCAACAAAGTAGTTTATAATTTTCAATGTTTATTTATTTTATTTCAAATTTGAACTTGTAAAAATTGTAAATATTTTATTTTGTGTTAAGATCTGAAGTTATAATTATATTGTTATAGTTTTTCAAATTCGAAGTTATTAACAATTTACTTTGTAAATATTTTCCGTATTCAGTTTGCATCCAGCTTTAATCATATTAGTTTAGCATCATGAACGTTGATATTTCAGAAAAAATATTTTGTACTGGTGTGAATTTGACAGTCTTTTCGAAAATTTCTATTCACTTAACATTTTTTAAGTTTAGCTTATCACACAGGTAAGTGAAAAAAATGTTTATCGCTTTTTCAAATACGGTATAGTTATAAAAAAAAATGAAAACTCCTGAAAGAATCGACTAAAATCAAAATCGAAAAAACCAACTTTATGTGGTTTGATTTGGTTTTTAGATTTGATAAACCGACATAATTGATTTAGATTTTCTAAAATAAAAAATCAAACTGAACCGACCTAAGTACACCCCTACGTGAGATGGATGTAACAACACTAAATTTCAAAGTTTGATTTTTTCTTCTTTTAAACACGTACATGTCGTTAAAAATTATACCATCGCAACCTATTAATAAATAGTAAATTTGAAGAAAAAAGTGTAATTTAAAATGATCAATGATGAACCTATTCAAATGACTAGATTATTATACGTAAAGTAATTAGATTTCATCTGAATCTACTAAGATTAAACATCTAATCTAGTTAGGAAATAAAATCCAAATACAATATATAGTTGTAATGCAAGAGTAGATTCAATAACTTCTTTTGACATATAAATAGAGTTGCAAAAAAGGGTTGGTCCTGTCCCGATTCAAGTCTCGCGGGTCAAGAAATTTGATGGGCTAGGGTCGGTCGGCCTTTAATATAAAAGGTCTGAAAATTTCAAACCATTACAATCCTAGAATGGTCGAGGGTTATTTTTAAAAAAAAATTCACATTTAAAATTTTATAACATCAAGAAAATGAGAAGGTTTTCAGATCAAATATGACAAATAATAGTGTTGTGTCAATAACACTAGCAAAAAATTTAATGTGATCATCATGTATTTGGATACTAGATATGCGAGATACATGTATCTGGTGTGATGCATCCCTGATACGCGAGCGAGATAATAGAGTGGCGAGTGAGATGGGAGGAAGGCAAGTGCATTGGCTTTTTCTATGTATCTTAGATACATGTGTATTCACTTGAATAGAGTGTATCTAGAACAAATTAACTTAGATTTTAGTCCATCTATCCCAAGATATATGTATCTAAACGTACCAAAATTCGATAAGATTCGTAATATTACAACATAACAGACATTTAAGTAGTTAGCTCATATACTAGTGACCGATTGTTGTAAGTTACCTTACATAAATAATTTTGGCCCATGGCCGACCCCGACCCAACCTGATCAAGCTTCAAGGGTCAATGACTTATATGGATTGGGCTTATATGCCCTAGTTTTAAATGAGTTTAAAAAATCTTATCTCAACCTTACTCTAATAATGAGTTGGATTGAGCCGGCCCTGTGAGCTGAGCCTATTTTGACGACTTTAGACATATATATTTGCATTCAAATATACAAATAAAAAAGAAATTACTAAGATATAATTGTATAAAAAATGGTGAAGGTAACAAGCAATTTGTTCTCTCTAATTTTCTTGTTCATTTTGTTAGGTAAGGTTTCTCTATTTTCTCTCTTAATTCATTCATAAGAGTCTCTCCTTTTCTTTCTTCTTAGGTAATTAAAGTAGACTAGTTGTGTGATCATTTGATCCAAATAATAACATGTTTACCGTTTAATTAAAAATTAATCGATGAACATCCTAACTAAATATTATAGTATAAAGTCGTAATTATTGTCATTAAAAGACATATACATGCCTTATGAAGAGAAAGATAAAAATTTCTTTTCCTTCGTACCTAGCACACCCTCAATTTCTATGTATTATCAATAAATTTAACTTTTTGATCTCTTAACACTTCTTATGATTTATTCACAGGTTCACCATCGTATATGGTATCGAGATAAGTTCAAAATTGTAAAAGTCAAAAAGATTGTGATCCCGCGTCTTGTAAACATGGAATTCTACTATGTATAGAAGGATTTTGTATGTGTGATGAGCCACCAATGTACGCGAATAGTGATGGTCCTTGCAACAACAAAAGTGATTGTGATACAACTAAATGTGCACCCATATGTCCACCAAAATGTATACATGGAAATTGTGTTTGTAGTGGTCCTTATTGTATGTGAACATGAAATATAATTAAATATAAATAGGACAATTTCTATCTTATATTTCTATTTGTAATTAAGAAAAAATTACAATGTAATTAGTGTAATATCTTACAATAAAATGAAAATATTAAACACAAGTAAATTCCTTTTGTCACTTACTGCACCTTATATTCCTTTTGTCACTTAATGCACCTTAAATTCCTTTAAATCTTAACATGTGCACCACCTATATATATATGTCACATGATATATACAAATCAAAAAGAAAATCATCAAGATCTAGAAAATGGAGAAGGCAACAAACATTTTGTTCTCTCTTACTTTCTTGTTCATTTTGTTAGGTAAGGTTTTTCTATTTTCTCTATTGTTCTTTCAATTTCATTAATATAAAGTACTTTCATTCGTTTCAATTTGTTTTTATATATTTAAGTATCGTCGTTCTATGTCAATTGTCCCCCTCTACCATCTTGCCCCACCCTAGATCTCCCACTCTCACCCTTGTCGTTGGCCCTTATATAGTTCAACTTTTTATCTACTTGTACATTTTTCTTCGTATCAAATACACTTTTAATTTCTATTTATTGTCAATGAGTTTAAATAAATATCGATATTTTTACAGGTTCACCATCATATATGATATTAGGCCAAATTCAAAAGTGTAAAGTCCAACAAGATTGTGATCTTGGAATCTCTTGCAAACATGGAATTCTACAATGTGTTGAAGGATTTTGCATGTGTGATAATGAGCCACCAATGTACCTAGCAAGTGATGCTTCTTTAAGGAAGAATACTCAAGTTAATCATTGCACAAAGGATAGTGATTGTGCAAATAAATGTCCTCCCATATGTCCTGCAAGTTGTTTCAATGGAGTTTGCTTTTGTAGTGGTAGTGAGTGTTGAGGCCAAAATTGAGTCATGAAATATATATAATAGAACAATTTATCTCAATTACATCTATTATAATGATAATGATGTTATTTGCTAATTTGTTTCTTTTGTTTTCTGATTGTTATAATGTAATGCTATTAAAAGAATACATAATATAACATAAAATTAATTTAGTGGAAAACTTAGTTATTATAGTGTAATATTGTTGTAAACGCGGATAGGTCAGAGGTTGGCCAAGCCGTTGGGCCTGTGACTAAATCACAAAGAGGCCCAAGAATTAGACAGCTAAGTAATAGATTTGCTTGGGATCTAGGTTGAGTAGAGTTTTTACGGTTATAGAAGGGTATGCGTGAAGTGAAGAAACTGTCTGTTTCTCTCATCTTCTTTTTAGAATCTAATCTTCTCATCATATTCTTATCTCTATCTCTAGTTACTTGATCTTTTAGTTGTCTCCTTGTAATTCAAGTGTTGTCGTTGTAATTTGGTTATCTTATTATATAATGTTTGGATATTTGTGTTGAGAAATCGGTTTGTTTTAAATATCTTCATGTTACAAAAAGATTTGACTCTACGACCAAAAATTTCTTCTAAGAAAAAGACATAAAGCAAATTTATCCCAACAATTAAGTGAAACCGTAAAAAAATAGTAGTTTTTTTATTTACTTTTAATACGTTAAGGGTATCTAATAAGTGATGAAAGGAAGATTTTTAAAAATTTCTAATATGTTAAGGGCATTAAGCTTCGTTTCTTTTCCTTTTTATTATTTGTCAAATTAAAGTAGAAAGTGTGTGACATAACTAACTAGGATAACCTATCTTGTAATTGTTCATAACACTAGCTAGGATGCTAGTTCATGATATTAAATGGAATATTTCAAATTAAAATTCAAATTATCTTTATATTTTGTTTGATTGAACATATAAGTTTATTTTGGAGTTCGATAACTTCACTTTTAAAAGTTAAATCTGCATTTTTTTTATTAAATAAATATTGAAGTACAAAAGGATTGTACATTATCAAATGCAAGTCTATTAGCAATTTTATTCCCTTTCTCTATAAATTTTTTCTAGTTCTCCCACCATCTCATTTTTTTTAGATCGAATTTTTGACTCGATATGAGTATTGATAGATTCATTTTTTTCATGTAGATAACGTGTTTAGTAGATTTGAAACACTCTAAAACTCTATGAAAAAGAATGGAGGTTGTGTGAGGGTTCCTGGCGTGTTCGTTTGACTTTCGAAGTAGGTTATGACTTATAATGTTAGAATTTTGAGATGATACATTTGACACTCTTCTATGAAAGTTTTGGGTTTTAAAACTATTTCTTTTATTATTTCTTTCTTTCACGTTTATTTATAACAATATATTTGTATTGACATATCATCGACTTATCTATCAAAAAATTTAAAATAAATATCATCAAAACTTTTAATAAGTTAATTCATTTTAGACCCCGCAGATTCACTTTTTAATCCTATTATGAAGACGAGTATGACCGATTAAAAATAGTCATGAATCAACTTCTTCACTCAAGTTTTGGTTGGTATCAATATTTCCTTAATACCTTGTATAATAGAGTAAAAGTGGTATTTATATTAATAAAAATAAAGATCTAAAAGCCAACAATTTAGCATTTTGATTCTTCTTTTTCTTTACTTTTAAAAGGTTTAATTTGTCCAAAATATAGCAATACCATCACAAGGTCATTTGATAAATGAAATAAACAAATAAATAAAAACATTACTTTATTTGTTTCATTTTGTTTGTTTTATTTTTCTTCTAATTGTTTTTTTTTAATTTTAAATTTACACATGACGTATTTAAGATATATTAAATAAAAATTTTGAAACATTATATATATATATTTAATTTAGGAGCACAAAATTTAAAGTCTTCATTATTTTTTTTAAATTTTATATCAACTCAAGTCAAATCAAATATATTATTTTAAATTTTTTTCTTAAAATAATAAATATAAATTTGATTCCATTTAATTCCCAATTGACTTCCAAAAATTAATTAATTTTCTTTTATTGCTTATTATACATTTAAGATTTTAACCATATTTGGAGTGCATCAACAAGGGAAGTTGGTGGTGCACCATCTATATATATATATGTATTCTACCACATATGTTTTTGCACATTTATACACAAAACAAAAGAAAAACTTATCACTCAAATATAGAAAATGGAGAAGGCATCAAGAATCTTGTTCTCTCTTTTTGTTGTGTTCATTTTGTTAGGTTAGATTTCTTTCAATTTTCTCTCTTTATTTTTCGTAAAAGATTCGATACTGCAAATGACATTTTACATTGATTGTTTTCATCTTAACCCCGCCCCAATCACCTCATCTCATCCATAGCAATTATTTCTATTTATTTTCAATGAATTTAACTATTGATCTTAACTTTTTTTTTTTAATTGTTTCTTATATAGGTTCACCTTCATGTATGGTGATGGGACAAGGCAAGGCATGTAAAAATGTCAAAGATTGTTATACTTTATTTTGCAAACATGAACATCTAGTTTGTTTAGATGGACATTGTATATGCAATGAGTCACCAAAAGAATTTGTAGCTTCTTGCAAAAATGGTGGTGATTGTAAGAATCCATGAAAGGTGTAACAAAATATTTTATCTTATTATTCTAGTAAACTAATAATAAATATAGCTATTACCATTTTCTTATAACCCTCCATTTGCCTTCTTGATGATTTTTACATATTCGATATATTTTAATTTATCGTAAAACGTAAGATGTTTCATTTTTCATTTATTAATTTCACTTATTTATGCTCGATTGCTTTCGATCGTTAATCTTATATAATTAAACCTAGAATGAAAAAGAGTATCACCTTTAAGATATATGATTAGGATCGAAAGTAAGACGATTAAAATAGGCCCAGTATATATGTTATTTATGCTATTTATTTAAAATTTTATGTATCAAATTCAAGTAGAGCAAATATTTTTTAGATGCCATTGAAACTAATTATTGTAATTAATTAAATGTTGGTACTATACATAACTATACTCACTTTGTTCATTATTTGCAAAAGGGGGTTCTGCTCATCTCATATTTTCTATGATTCAATGAATATTTTTCTTTTGTCAAGAAGTGCTTTGTCCTTTTATGTAGGATACATTTTTTTTTATGCGAATTTGAATTTAGTTTGTATGTATCGATTACAGGGTGGAAATCAAAAAATAAATTAAAAATGTTTCCCTAAAATCAAAAAATAAATTAAAGATGTTTCCCTTTTAATTCTAATACACTGTCATATAAATGATAAAATCATAAATATATAAAATATCTTAAAATGATCATAAAATCTTAAATATATGAATATCTTTTTAAAATGATAAAATATAAATTTGATTACATTTAATTCCAATTGACTTCCAAAGAAATTGATTAATTTTCTTTAATTGTTTACTACAGATTTTTACCATTTTTGGAGTGTATCAATAAGGTAAGTTGGTGCTGCACCGTGTATATATTTGTATCCTTATAACATATGTTTGTGCACATTCATATACAAAACAAAAGAGAAACTTTTCACTCTAATATTATAGAAAATGGAGAGGGAATCAAGAATCTTGTTCTCTCTTGTTATTGTGTTCATTTTGTTAGGTTAGATTTCTTTCAATTTTATCTCTTTCTTTTTCATAAAGATCGTGTTCGATATAATTTTCTGATGTTCAGTTGTTCAAAATTTTTTTTGAAAAAAGATGTTTTTCTAGTGAAACAAATTCCTTGAAAATTAGAAAAATTATTGATTGAGACCCTGAACTCAATAAAAGAAGGGATTTACTCCGATTCGAACAACTCATCCATGTGTACTTTATTTTATGATATATATTAGATCTGTATACACACATATAATCGTCAACATTCAGAAAACATAATTTACTGTAAAATTGATATGTCCTTAAAAATGGATTTCATAGTAGGTGTAAAGAAACAAGTTCTGCAAGTGTCATTCTACATTGATTGTCTCCTCTCCACTGCTACGATCACCTCATCCCACCCTCCTCCCCCAGCCTAACCTAATCAAGATATCAATAATTTGTATATATTTTTAATGATTTTAATTGTTGATCTTACCCTTTTTTTTAATTTATTTTTTTGATATAGGTTCACCTTCATGTATGGTATTGGGACAAGGCAAGGCATGTCAAAATGTTAAAGATTGTTATACTTTATTTTGCAAACATGAACATCTAGTTTGTTTAGATGGACATTGTATATGCAATGAATCACCAAAAAAAATTGAATTAGATTATTGCAAAAAAGATGATGATTGTAAAGCTATATGTGGTCCTGAATGGTCATCAATTAAATGTATTGATGGAATTTGCTATTGTAAAAACCCATAATAAAAGGTCTAATAGAATATTTTTCTTATTATTATTGTCTTATAATATCCCTTCACTCACTTTCTTGACAATTTTACATAATCGGTTTATTTTAATCTGTCATAGAACGTAAGATATTTTATTTTTCGTTTACTAATTTCACTTGCTATGCTCGATTGCTTTTGAGTGGTATTATCTTCTTTTTTTTTACATAGATAAATGTATTTAAATGAGTTTGAAGAATATAAATAATAAAAGAGCAACCAAACTTAAGAATAAATTTATATCAGAGAACAGTCAATATAGATATTGCGGGGAGGGGGGGGGGGGGGACACGTTGAGCTTGATCCGTAAAACATTTATAAATCCACCCCGCCCTGCCCCACCCCGCATAAAACTTTTTTTCATTTTCAACCCTGTCCTGCATAGACCCGTTCTGCATGAGCTTGCCCCACATAGTCTTTTTAATTTTTTTTTCTAGTTTGATACTAAAAATAAAATTTGTTAAAATAATTCATTTATTCATCGAGTTGTATTAATTTAATAAAATAGTGACTAAAATTTTAATTTTTAGATGTCAATTGTGGAAAATATGTTAGAAATTGAAATTTTTTATTGAACCATTTTCATTTACACTATCTTGAATATCTGCTTATCTCATTATTTTCTATAAGTGTTTTATCCTCCATTATAGACTTTGTGGCATAAATCCAGATTTAGTTAGACTTCAACGAATAGAAGAAACCAATAAATAAATAATATTTCCCTCTTAATTCTAATGCTATCATATAAACTTAAAGTACATTTGATCTTTTATATCTTTAAATTAAATGATACAACCATAAATATATAAAATATCTTAAAATGATCATATCTTAATTATATGAATATCTTCTTAAAATGATAAATTTTGATTCCATCATTCCCAATTGACTTCCAATGAAATTGATTAATTTTCTTTAATTCCTTATTATACATTTAAGATTTTTACCATTTTGGAGTGTATCAATACAGTAAGTTGGTGGTGCACCATCTATATAATTGTATCCTATCAACATATGTTTATGCACATTCTTATAAAAAAGAACAAAAAGAAACTTTCACTTAAATATAGAAAATGGAGAAGGCATCAAGAATCTTGTTCTCTCTTCTTGTTGTGTTCATTTTGATAGGTTAGATTTCTTTCGATTTTCTTTCTTTCTTCTCCATAAAGAGTGTGTTCGATAGAATTTTCTGATGTTCGATTGTTGAAAGGATATGTCTTTAAAAATACATTTCATAGGAACAAAGAAACAAGTTCTGCAAGTGTTATTCTACATTGATTGTCTCCTCTCCACGCTGTGCCCCGATAACCTCTTCCCCAACCTACCCCTATCCAAGATATCAACACTTCCTATATATTTTCAATGAATTTAATTGTTGATCATAACTTTTTTTTATTGTTTCTTATATAGGTTCACCTTCATGTATGGTGATGGGACAAGGCAAGGCATGTGAAAGTGTCAAAGATTGTTATACTTTATTTTGCAAACATGAACATCTAGTTTGTTTAGATGGACATTGTATATGCAATGAATCACCAAAAAAAATTGAATATGATCCTTGCAAAAAAGATGATGATTGTAAAGTTTTGTGTGGTCCTGATTGGCCAGTAGTTAAATGTATTAATGGAGATTGCTATTGTGACTTTCAAAAGGTGTAATAGAATATATTTTTTTCTTATTATTAGAGTAAATTAAAAATATGAAACATACTTCTTATTATTATTAATTGTTGTCTACTAATACCCCTTTATTCACTTTCTTGACAATTTTACATAATTGATTTATTTTAATCTTATTATATATAGAAGGTAAAATGTTTCATTTTAAATTTACTAGTTTTATCTAATTTATTATTTTGGGGTGGCTCAGCAGGTTTAAAAGGTAAAAATATTCACACGGATAATTCGGGATCGATTTCCTCCTCAATGTCTTCTGAGTTGAGTCTGGGTTTACATCGTTGTAAGGCGGAATTTATCCAATGCACACCTAAAGAATAGAGACTTTAATAGAGGTTATAGGTAACGTTCAGAATATATGAATATAATTATCAATACCTTGAAATAATATTTATGAAAGTATTACACCGTAAATAATCTTCTTTTTTTTTTTTTATAGATAAATGTATTTAAATGTGGCTGAAGATATAAAAAGTAATTGTATAGATTGTTTTTATTTTTTCCCTCCTCTTGTCTCTTTTATTTTAAGTTTTTCGTTTTATAAATCTAAGTCATTTATATAAAAAAAATTAACATAGGTAAAATTTAATAAGTTTTTAATATTTAAAAGAATAAAATCAATAAGTATATATTAGAGTGATCAAACTTGATAAAATTTCAAATATTTAAAGAACTAAGTTCAATGAAAATATTAATAAAGAACCATTATAGAGCTAATCACTATATTATATCTACAATATTCAATTTTATTTATTTTTTTGGCACATTATTTAGTGTAGTTTATATCTACACACAAACAAACATTGTGAATGAAATCAATAATAATTAAAGAGGTCAAAGTATTTCACATATTTTGACTAATTACATTTATTCTTTAATTATTATAGCTTGTTGACTTACATCTTTAGGAGTTAAAAAGGTAATTCAAATATAACTTAAATTACAAAAATAAAATTCTAAACACTAATAAATTTAGATTTGTTTCCATTAAATTCCCAAATTCCAAATTATATGTTGGCTAATTTCACTTAATTTATTTTGGATTCTATCAAATATTTGAGGCAAGTTGTTGCACCATCTCTTCCTATATATATCTCCCAAAACATAGCATACAAATACACAAGAAAAATAAAAAAATAATAATATCATTGTCTATTGAGATATAGTATACAAAATGGAGAAGACATCAATTGTTAATTTGCTCTCTCTTATTGCCTTGTTAATTTTGTTAGGTAAGCCCTTATATAAATATACATATGAAATTTTATATTTGTATATATAGAATGCAATTTTCTTATTTAGCATGCAATACTAATTCTAATTAATGTCATGTATAATAGTTTTTATTTGAATTTTATTAGCGATTGACGATAATATATTGAATATTTAATTTCGATAAATAAATCTTAATTATGTTAGAAGATGAAGAAGGAATTATTCACTATTAGTTTTGTGCTCATTTTATTAGGTTAGGTTTCTTCCTTTTCTCTCTTTCTTTCCTCTCCCCCTGTCCGCAATTGTTTGTCATGTCGAATATCAATTTGACTGATTTTCAAAGGTAAATCAGATTACATTAATTTGATATTTTAAACAAAAAAAAATTAGATATTCTAAAACTATATGAAAAGTACTATAAATTACAATTTTTTTCATATTAATATGACGAAAAAATACATCTTAAAATGTCAGTCGAAGTTTTTATAGTTTGACTCTAAAAACAGAAACCATGACAAACAAAACCGGACGGAGGGAGTAGTTATTAAGTTTTGTTGATAATAGATTGAACGTTTTTACAATATAGTAATGGCGATATGAAACTAAATATTATTTTAATTATTGATTTTAATTCAACCCTTTTTCAATTTTTCATAGGTTCACCATCACGTATGGTATCAGGACATGTATCTCAAAAGTGTCACGTTAAAGAAGATTGTAATCCTGCATCGTGCATCGATGGTGGAATTATGATTTGTTTCCAGCAAGTTTGTACGTGTGTATGGTGGGATCATAAGGAAGGGCAAAAAAATACAATGATTGTATAAGCATATGTCCACATAAAAATGTATTGGATTTTTCTTTTGTAATGATTGTTAAATCCAAAATTAAGATATGTTTAAGGTATACAAAAAAATATTTTATCTTATTAAAGTACAATGTCTTTATTCCTTTCGATTCAGAGCAAGTTCATGATTTGAAGACGATAACTACATCGTTAAAAATGAATGTGCATTAAATAAAGAGGTATTATGTGACACTCATGACGATGCTTAAAAAGGCACAAAAATGAAAGGGAAAATAATAAAAATTTTCGAACTTGGTCGGATAACTTATTTTAGCATTTAAACTATGCGAACGTTTAAATACTCCAATATCTTTAAAGTGAATTATATGCAATCCTTACGTGGCAAAGAGAGTGAGTTCACTCATCTAATAGTGTGTGAAGAAATTAAAAAAAAAGAAAAAAAACTTGTAAAATCATACAAATGCATTTTTATAGGTCAATATATAATTAATATTTTAAAATATTATTTTTTTAGTATATTAACTTTTATTAAACAATATGAATTTTTTTATTGGTCCACAAAACTTTTAAATTTTTTTCGTTTTATTTTATTGTCTTTCCCAAAAGCTTCTTCTCCATTGAAGCATCTTTCTTTTCGTCATTCTTCATCTTCAACTCTATCAACTACTTCAATTTCACCATTTTTTAGTAATCCACAAAATCCAACACCAACATCTTATTACTCACGTCAATTTCACACATATAAATTCGTCAATTTTTATCGGAGCTAAAAAAATCTTATTGGTTCACTGAATAAGACGAAGAAAGAAAGAAAAACAAGACATATAGTGGAGCTCGTTGAAAAATATGAAGAAGAAAAAATGAGTAGATAAAGGTAAGAAATGGTGAAGAAGAAGGACGTAGAAAGAAGTGAAGGGGTTGGATATGGGGAAATAAAAATGGATCCACATTTCAAACTTTAATTTTAGAAAATGCATTTACAATTAATTATTAAGTGTAAATTAATTTTAAAAAGTATTAGAAGAAAATTTGTGAAAATAATTAATAAGAAGAAAAATTTGTGAAAATAATTAATAAAAAATAATTAATGACGAGGTGCAGACATGACTATGATGTGACAAGTGAGAGTGATATAATAATCTCAAGGTGATTTTTAATTCACTAGTTTAAAGGCTAAAGTAATTTATTCGATCAAATTTAAAAGTTTTTTCTTTTACGTATTTTCTCAAAAGTTTTTTTATAGTTTAAATCTTACTTAGAGCTTTTTATATGCATTTTTTTTCTTATTTTAAATGTTCAAGCGGGATTTCTTTATTAAACTTGTTGATAAAATTTTAAGAAGAAGAAACAAAAATTGCGATTTTGAATCAAGAATATTATTGATTATTAACAGTGTAATTTATTTAAGTTAACAATTAATAGTGATAGTGATGATATAAAAAAAAATTCATGTCCCCCAGTTTTGAAAAATAAGTATAGGTGTATATGTGATAAGATTGAATATTCAACACTTCTTGAATTAAAAAAAAAAAAAGAAAAAACCAAATGATTGATTATTTCATAAAAAATTCATTCCATATTCTTGTTAATGTTGGAATATTCCTAATATTATTTTTAAAGAACCTATATTTTTCATTACTTTAAATATTCAAATATTAGTAAAGAATTATTCCTAAGTTAAATGCAAATATTAAAAGTGATATTGTATTCGCGTGAGAAATTAAAATTATAATAATTCATGTAATTTTAGGAATAACAAATATAAAAATAATATTAGCGCTATATAGCTATAGTTTTGCTATTTTTACTCCATAACAAACTATATTTGCTATGGAGCATCTGATGGTATAAAATCACATGTAACATCTTATTGTATAAAATCGCATGTATAAATAGGGCGTCTGTGTCTATGACAATTGTGTTTGTATACGTATATTGTTCTTGTGTTAGGCTAGAGTGATGAGCGAGATTAGGCGACAGGTAAGCAAGTGAGGACAAAGAGTGGGAGAGGTGAATTATTATGTATATTGGTTGGATAATTATATATATATATATATATATATATATATATATATATATATATAACTACTATGTACATGTATCAATGATTATATTTGTATATCCTTATAAGTTTGAATATGTTGATAATTGATCGAGTTAAAACATTTGTATGTATATCAAATCTCTCTCACTTTATATATACAAACAAAAGTTATACATAGTATTTTGTATAAAGTAAGAGAGGTAAAGACAAAATAGAACTGGGCAAGGGACGATTTGTATATGTATAGATCATCATAAGTGTATAAGACGAATATATATGTATTTGTAATCATATATATAGTCTTTCTCGTATTATACAAAAATAATTTTACATTCGCATTTGTATAAAGTGAAAGAGGCGAGAGAGAGCCCCGAGGATTCAAGGAGAGTGATGAGCGAGATTTAGGGAAAGAGGTGAATGGCAAGAGAGTTTGTTGTGAATTGAAATTATATGAATCTTTAATTATAATATTTATTTTGAATTAATAATTTGCTACAATACACGATTTTAACTATCAATTATGAAAAATTCCCTTTACCAAATAAAGTGAAACGTTTGACCACTAGATATTTGACAAAAAAAAATATAGCATATCAATGGTAACATAGAAAGCTAATATTCATATAATCATTTTGTTTTTACCAAATATTATTCTTTTGACCAAATAATAAAGTGGTCAAAGTAGTAATGACTTAAAATATATCTTAAATCAAAACTAAAATCCTAAACACTAGTAAATCTAGATTTGTTTTCATTTCCACATTCCAAATTATAAATTAGCTAATTTCAATTAATTTATTTTGGATTCTATCAATATTTGAGGCAAGTTGTTGCACCATCTCTCCCTATATATATCTCCCAAAACATAGCATACAAATACACAAGAAAAATAAAAATAATATCATTGTCTATTGAGATATAGTATACAAAATGAACACATCAATTGTTTTGCTCTCTCTTATTGCCTTGATAATTTTGTTAGGTAAGATCCCCCCACCCCCACCCCCACCCCACCTCCACAACAAGAATTTCATCAGAAGGGTTCACTGTCTATTATATATATTTATGAAATTTTGCATCTATCTATATACATAGAATGTGATCTTTTTTATATGAAGAGAATTCAGATGAAGCCCTTCATGTCCCTGGTTGAAGTTTTTAGCATTTAGTTCTAATTAGTCTCATATACAATAGACACATACATAGTTTTTATAATATATTGAATGTTTAATTTCGACAAACGTATCTTAAATCTTTCTTTTTGGTTTTCGTAGGTTCACCATCGTGTATGGCATTGGGAATACAAGTACAATGTAACACATCAAAAGATTGTAAACCTACAGCTTGTGGAATTATGCAATGTTCTCATGGAGTTTGTGTGTGTCCCCATCAAATAAAGAAGAGTGCTGCTTGCACCAAAGACAGTGATTGTATAAGCTTATGTCCTCCTAAATCTATAGCAAATTGTATTAGAGGAGTTTGCATTTGTGGTACAAATTAGAGTCCAAAAGACATATATGTTTTGAGTTATAAAAAAACAATTTTTTTATATCGTTGGTTATTAGCTCATGTGAATCCTTTAATGTTTACTCAAAACTCGATAATATATATGTGATTTGCTAATTATAATATTTTTCTGTTATATTCAAAGTGGAAAATTTTAAAATATGTATCTGAGTTATTAAATTGACCATCGAGAAAGATAAAAAAAAAATTGATGCTATATTTCAAGTTCTTTCTTTTGGTATTAATAACATTGAACTTTTATGTTATCATGTTTTACTCATTTTATTAGGTTAAGTTTTTTTTTTCCCTTTCTTATTTTTAACCATATATGTGATAAGATTGAATATTCAACACTTCTTGGATTAAAAAAATGATCGATTATGTCATGAAAAATTCAGAGAGAGAGCGGTGAATGACGAGACTATTTATTGCGATTGCGAATTGAAATTAAATAAAACTATAATTATAATTATTTATTTTGAATTTAATAGTTTGCTATTATGCACAATTTTAATTATGAAAAATTCCCTCTACCAAATCAAGTGAAATGTTTGACCACTAGATATATGACCAAAATTAATAGCATATGAATGGTAACATATAACGCTAAAATTCATATAATCAAATTTTTTTTGACCAAATAATAAAATGGTTGAAGTAGTCCTGATTTCATATATAACTTAAATTACAAAAATTCTAAAACACTAATAACTTTAGATTTGTTTCCATTAATTCCCACAATCCAAATTATAAGTTAGCTAATTTCACTTAATTTATTTTGGATTCTATCAATATTTGAGATAAGTTGTTGCAACATCTCTCCCTATATATAATCTTCCTATTCATTGCATACAAAAAAAAATATAATATAGTATACAAAATGGAGAAGACATCAATTTTTAATTTGCTCTCTCTTATTGCCTTGTTAATTTTATTTGGTAAGATATAATTTTATATTTATATATATATAATGTGATTTTCTTATATGAAGGGGATTCAGATGAACCCTATCGTACCCCTAATTAAAGCCTTCTTAGCATGTTATTCTAATTAATGTCATATATAATAGCCAAATAATAAGTTTTGTTTGACTTATATTAACGACCGATGATAATATATTGAATGTTTAATTTTGATAAATATATATATATATATATATCTTAATTTTTCTTTTGGTTTTCGTAGATTCACCATCATGTATGGCATTTGGGGAGATATATATATATATATATCTTAATTTTTATGGCATTTGGGGAGACAAGTACAATGTAGCATATCAAAAGATTGTAATCCTATAGGTTGTAAAGGTGAAAGTATGCTATGTTTGTTTTTTGTAAGAGAAAACACCAACTCCTAAGACATATATGTTTTTAAGTAAAAAGAGAACTTTTTTATAGGATAATATATAAATATGCTCTTTAACTTGACTTCGAATATATTTATGTCTTTCAATTTTGAGTGTGCACGAGTAGACACTTAAACTTGTATAAAGTTGAACAAATAGACACGCATGTCATACATGTCATTTTTTGTCCTACGTGGTGTCCTACGTGTATTGTGACATGTAGGACTCATGTATTTATTTATTTAAAAGTTGGATAGTTAAAGTGTCTGTTTGTGCATTATACAAGTTGAAGGTCAAAGTTAAAATTTGAAGCCAAGTTTGGAATTCAATATATGTATTATGCCTTTTTTATATATATAGTTGGTTATTAGCGTACATGAATCCTTTAGTTTTTGCTCAGATTCTATATTAGGTACTTTATCCACTAATTATAATATGATTTTACTATGTTTAAAGTGAGAAGCTTTGAAATGCATAACTGAGTTATTAAACTGGCCATCAAAAGACGAAGATAAAGAAATGGTATAATACATAAATATGACTCTTAACTTGACGTCAGTTGATAACTATGACCCTTGACTTTGGATGTGCGCAAGTAGGCACTTAAATTGTATAAAATTGAACAAGTAGACACATGTGTCCTACATGACATGATACACGTAACACGCCACGTTAGACACAACTTTTTCATGTAGGGTGTCATATAGGATGAATGTATAGACTTGTTTAATTTTATACAAGTTTAAGTGTCTATTTGTGCACATCTAAAGTTAAGGGTCATAGTTATCAACTGACATCAAGTTAAGAATCATGTTTACGTATTATGCCTAAAGAAATTGATGTTGGACAAATAAAATAATTCATTCAAAAGCAAACTACTCTAAACTTGTAATCTAGCTACTGTATATCAGAGAAGGAATGTCAATTTTACTAATTTACCCTTTATCTATTTTGATGGACATTAATAGAATTCATGAAAAAAATTATATAATACTCCCACTATTTTATATTAATCAAATTTTTGGGTAATTTTTTATTATTTAAAATAATTGAATTGTTCAAAATTTAAGATTAATATTTGAAATTTTTTTCATGTTTCACTATTTACAAAGTTATACTCTTATTATTTCAAAAAGAACAATAGTGGAAAGTAATTTTCTTAATTAGAAAATAGTGATGGGATAAAAAATTTATATCTTGTTTGGTTATCATGTTTGGAATAACATATCTCATCATTTATATTATAATTTTGGGATAAGTTATCCCAGATAAATGGTGGGATAAACTATTCCAAGATAGCTAACCCCAGGACAACTAATTTTGGGATAAGTTGTTCCCAAACCAAATAACCCCTTAAGATTAATGCTAAATGATCGGAAAATTTGGCCAGAAATTTCAAAAAGTCTATAATATCCTTTTTATTTTAAAATAAAATTACATTTTTTTATTTTTAATTTAAAAAATATTGAAATTAAAAGAATAAAAATATAATATAACATAGTGCGAAATATAATTTTACCATTTTGACCAAATTCTTGCGAATTTCCTAGTCAAAACGATTGATAGAAAGAATAACATAGAGCATATGAATAAGTAATCATTGAAACTTGGTCACATTGGAATTGTTAGGCTTCCAAAGAGTATTAATTGTGCCATAAAATGAAAAAAAAATTATAATTAATTTTATCTTGATTATTAAATGGATAAACAACCTCTTTAACGAGTAAAATTGGTTTTGGAATTCTATCACTTAATAAGGATGAAATGATAAATTTATTATATCAATTATTATTTTCTTAATTATGTGTCAAGTCAAAAATAGACAAGTAAATAGTGACAATGGAGTATTCACGTAATCCATTCTTTTAACCAAATAATAAAGTGGCAAATTAGTCTAGATTTCAAATATACCTTAAATCAAAATTGAAATCCTAAATACAAGTAGATATAAATTAGTTTATAGTCAAACATTCCTTCTTCTTTTTTAAATATATTTATATTCAAACATTCCAAATTATAAATTAGCAAATTTTATTTATTCCCTTAATTTCATTTACTCCCTATATATATCTCCCAAAACATAGCATACAAGTATCCAATGAAAAGAAAAACATCATTATCTATTGAGATATAGTATACAAAATGGAGAAGACATCAATTGTTTTGCTCTCCCTTATTGCCTTGATAATTTTGTTAGGTACCCCCCCCCCCCCCCCACACACACACAAACCAAGAATTTTATATATGTATACATAGAATATGATTCTCTTTTATGAAATTAAAGGGGTTCAGATGAACCCTCTTGTACAGCTAGTTGAAGCCTTTAGCATGTTATTCTAATAAATGTCATGTATTATACACAAATGCGTAGTTTTGTTTGACTTATACATTGAATATTTAATTTCGATAAATATATCTTAATTAATTTTTTCTTTTGGTTTTTTTCTAGGTTCACCATCGTGTATGGCAGCAACGTGTAAAACATCAAAAGATTGTGATCCTAGAGGTTGTGGAAGTCGAGGTATGCTATGCCTTAATGGAGTTTGTGTGTGTCCCTCTGAAATAAGGAAGAATGGCTGCACCAAAGATAGTGATTGTGTAAGCCTATGTCCTCCTAAAACTTTGCCATCTTGTAATAAAGGAATTTGCTTTTGTGGACATCATGTATAACCTAATACATGTTTGAGTTATAAGAGAACATTTTTTTTATATCATTAATAGTTATCGACTCGCATGAATCCCTTAGTTTTTGTTCGAATTCTATATTATTTCAGTTATTCATTGATCATATACATCGGTGTTAAGTAGCTTTATTAAGTTAGAGACATGTATAACCATATGTCCTAATACATGTTTGAGTTATAAGAGAAATTTTTTTTTATATCATTAATAGTTATCGACTCGCATGAATCCCTTAGTTTTTGTTCGAATTCTATATTATTTCAGTTATTCATTGATCATATACATCGATGTTAAGTAGCAAACACTTTCAACAACCTTTCAAATCCTTTTCAGTTATCATTTTCATTCAAAGAACTCTTGAATAAAAATAACAATAAAATGTATAAAGAGTTAGAATAGAATAATTTTTGCTAAAATAATAATATCACTGAGGTAAGTAAATAATCTAATTTTAATTTTACTTAAATATTTAATAACTTTTAAATTATGATCATTTTCACTATAACTTTATAATATTTATTTTATATGATGATTTCATTATTATTTTTAATTAAATATTTTTGTATTATCAATACTCATCTCATATTTTGTATTTTTTTTTTAAAAACCACTTTAGATAATTATTTTTTGGTTGGACTAAAGAAATATTTGAAGCACAAGTTAATATATGAGTATATTGTATGCAAACTTTAGCTAAAAAGTCCAAAAATCTTTAAAAATTTGAGGTTTATTATTTGGTTTGTTTTATAAATTTAAAAATTCGACACAACGGTTTAATTTGGCATTTGAAAAATTCGAACCAATCCGAGGTTGAAAAACTCAAAAAAATTCGTGTCTTATTAGTTTGATTTGGTTTATAAATTTAAAAATTTTATATAAATAATTTGATTTACTATTTGAAAAACCTGAACCAACCCAATCATATACGCCCCTAGTTCCATTGGTGGTGGTCTCCATGTATAGAGATTCTCTTTGTACATACGATTGTTTGTGTCAGTAATTTCTTTGTTAGCTAATTTATTTTTTTCTGTCCCTATTTATATAATATTTCTAGCTTATCAAGAATTGTGAATTTAATAAATTATGAAAGCTATATTAAATTAGATTAATTTAATATTTTAAGATTAAAATTCAAATATTTGTAACCTATACTAAGAGATTGTTTGTTAGGAGATAGTAGAGAAGATATGATTGTAGATTTGTGTCAAACTATAATTTCAACAACTTAAATGGATGAAAATTACCAGCACAACTGGTTTTGTTATTATTATGAAGGTATTTATGGTGTCCAAAAACTTTCGACACCTCAATTATTTTATCGAGTACCCGTAAGTAGTATAGGTACTGGGTAATTCTACCCATCCGAAAGCAAAGTACTTCAACCTTGTAATCTAGCTAATATATATCAGAGAATGAATGTCAAGACTACAATACATAAATGGGGGTAAAAATTTCTTCAAAGGTGTTATCACGTGCAATCAACTCCTGTAACAATGTGGAAAATGTTTTTCATCGTCATGATGGGATCTGCAATTCTGGATTTTGAACGCCAAGCAACGTGTTCATCAGGTCTCACTAATATGGCTCCTCTGTCTGTCATTTGACAGATGTCCCACCAGGATGGTGAATCCGATGACCTCTTCACTTCCACAACTTCTTCAAAAGATTTCCAGGGTGTCAATGCAGCCTCAGTTCTTCCAGCTCCGTCAATACTTCCGTTTGGCCACATTACACAAACCTTTAAATGGAGTTTAAATTTGTTGGCCACCTCTAGTGCAGCTCGAGCTAGACAGTATGACTCCTTGAATGGCGCAATTATAAGGATAAACTCAACCTTATCTATAGATACAAGGTCTAGAGTAGATAATATTTCCTGCATATGATTGATTGTATTCTGATTTCTGTCAGAAAGAATAGTAATGCAAACTTGAAATAAAATATTTTGATCCTCAAAATGAACTAGGATGAACTAGAGCCTCACATGAGTTTTAAGAGCTAGAAACTTGTTAATAAGGTGAGAAACAACCTTTAATAGTTGGTTTAATGAGTTTCAAGGTCAAACGTCAAAGGACGACCAAGACATCCGCAAACTAGTCTTTTGTGTGCTAGTGTGTTCTAGTATGTTTGCCTTGTTTTGGTGTGTCGTTTCGAGTCTACTATGATTAGAGGTGACCCTAGTATCTAGATGGTCATGTTTAGGGTCGAAACGTCCGGGTACGACTCCCCAAGGACCAACCTAAGGATTCTTGAGGAGGACACAAACATTGGCCAAGAAGTTGTTAAGACAGCTTGACCAACGACCACAAACGACACCCTGTTAACCAATTGATGCCCCGTAGAAAAGGGGCGTGGCTCCACAGTTAGCCGTGGGAGCTTAGCCCCCAAAATGACAAGCCTTGGTCACCATTGACGGATGACCAAGATGGGACCATCAATCCATTGATGGTCCATCAATGGTGGCCGCCGATTAAACCTGCAACACTGCCAAAGTCTTGGCCGATTGACTATGGTTTCATCATGTTGTTACTTGGAGTATGGACTTGTATATTGTTCATGTGATGCACTTAAAGACTAAATGGGTTATGACTATAATGTAATAAATGAATGAGTGCTTATATGATGTCTATGAAGTATGTTAGTCTTATGTCTAATGTTAAGTGAATGCGTTGTGTCTTATTGAATATGATGTGCCTAGTCTAGGTGACTTCATAGGAACACTTAGTGTGAATAGTATTACGGGATGCTACTTGAACATTGCACTAGTGTGACTTGAGGTTGTCTTAGGTGATGGTTCTTATGTGAAGGTTATGTTTCATGATATGCTATGTCCTTAAGAATACATATGGTTGGATTAATGAAGGTTGTATGAATGTTCACCCTTGGTGACCTTAAGGTGATACTTTGGTATGAATGGTGGAATGAGACACTATTCATGTATTACACTAAGTATTACTTAAAGGTTGCTTGAGGTAAGGGAGTTGAGGTAAAAAGTCAAGGTAATATATTGGAGTTATTGAATGTGTCTTAAATGTGATAAATGGTTTTATGTGTTGTTGTGAATGGTATCCATGTCTATTATAATGTATATGAACTAAATTGTGTTTATTGTATCAAATGGTTAAGGAGTTTCACTAAAATGATATGATGCATGGTTCCAACTAAATGTCCTCTTTAAAGCAAGTTGTTGCATGATTATCATACTTGATGCATTCTTCTATTAATAGCATTCTTCTTCATCTTTTTACACCAAGTGTAGGCGGCAATGGCTAAAGGACTTTTCCTATAATGAAGAGCTTGGATTACTATTCCCAAGTTCGGGTGTGTCCTTAATGATTCAAAGACCTTCATGTTAAGAGTTTCTTTAAGTTCATGTAATAGATTAGTAATGTTCTGTTTATATTGTACGGGTCGTGTCCTTATTATATTGAAGTCGTGTCTAAGATGGCAAGATGAGACTTAGTATCCTAACTTTGTATTAATGATTTATAAATAAGATGACTTTCTAGTCTTGTGTTATATTAAGAAAAAGTTCTAATTCCGCACTAATTTTCATACTTATGCAATGAACGAATGTTAAGGGCTTGTATAAGACCTCCAGGAGGTCAAGTACGTGTTGTTACGCCCAGGGGTTACTCTCGGGTCGTAACACAAAATGGCTGCAAGTCGAATATTGTAATTTTTAGGAAGGCTAAAGGTTAAAAAAAATTCCTTTTTGATTCAGTTATTTGGCTTCTCCACACGTGTGAAGAGATGACTAACAAGACTATGATCTAACAAAGTCTGGCTCCTACCAAGGCAATGTTCCCTTGAAAGATTTCATACCTTGCTTGACGGTTTAGAAAACAGTTCAACGTTCATATGAGGGAGCCTTGATCCAGGTTCTGAGCAAGGAATATAATCCCTTCTTCGTCCTGTTGGTGCTTCATGCACATCCACCACAACGTCATCTTCAGACACCAATACTCCTTTCCGATACCTAATGTGAACATCTCGAAATTAGAGTACTGGTGAAAACAAGAACTTCCAACAAGATAGGTAAGATAGAAACAATCATCTGGCGTAATCCAAGATGGCTTTTTTGGAGTTCTATTCAGAGTTGAGACAGCATCCAGCATTTATAGGAGACGTAAATTAGACAATAATAATTGAAAAAACTGATTTAACAATTTGCATGAGATGGATAAAAAAAGAATAGATACGCAACCTGAAACCAAGATCCTCAGCAGGGAACTGGAGCTGAAGGCTCTGTCCTTCTTCAAATATTTGTCTTAATCTGGTTAGCCTTGCAGATCCGAGTGGATTATTTTCATTCAATACAAAATCTGAGAGTTGTGCACAACCTATGCTGAATATTCCATCTAATATTGTCCTTTGAAGTGCGGATGGCAGAATGGAACCAACAGTGTCATTAAGAGCTCGATGTACTGCAGGCGAAAACCACATAATATCTTTAACAAAATATTATTGTAATAAAAATTAAGTTTCAGGTTTTCACTTTACCTGCATTTGCTACAGTTGGATCAAGACCAAGTGCAGCAGGAACTTTCATTGCCGCTTTAAAGTTTTGGACGCTAAGCGCTGTATTAAATTGGGCTATCTGAAGCATTTTAAGGAGTGTTCAGCTCACAATAACAAGATCAGAGAAATCCGTAATGCATAGACTACCATATATATTATGAAACCAAGAATTGAAGAACTGAATACCTACCTGACTACGTTCTAGTTCATAAGAGTTGAGAATTGATATTGGTGAGACACCCTCGATTACAGAAGCTAATTTCCAAGCAAGATTATGAGCATCTTGAATACCAGTATTCATCCCTGAATAAAAGAAGAAAGAATCTTAAGCAGATCTCCTTCTCCCAGTCTCAACAATTGAATTCTAAAATAAACAAGAACTGCAGATATATTCCACGATGCGGAGTTGGATGCATCTTACATGACCAACTTAAAATTTTCACCACCTAATTTAGAAGTTATAAAGACCAGTTCTTTTATCTCTGCAGGATAGAAAATTATTTGTCAAGTTTTCTTTTGTTTTCCCCC